GGCTGATGAGGATTCCCAGAATGTGCCTGAATCACGGGAGGTGTTTTGTTTTTAGGTTTTTGATAGTAATGGCCTTTGAGAAAGAGATACTTGGGATGCAGAAAAAAAGAGGGAAATTTCATGAAACAATTTCCTTAAGTAGAGAAGAGTGTCTAGGAACTAGTGGATGACTGGTGGTCATCACAATATTGGACATAGCCAGTTCACCCGTGAAAACAGAGACATATTGTCATAAAGACAGGGAATGTAGCTTGAGGTAGGGGGCTTGAAGAGGTTCTATATTGATGCCTTCTGCTTTCTCAATGAAAAAGTAACAAGTTTTCATGGGGGAGTGAGAATGAGCTGGTGGAGGCCAAACAGAACTCTAGGAGAGTGGCGGGTGAATACATACACTGGAAAAGTGGCATGTTATTCCTGGAAGCTCTAAAGACCTGCGGGTAGTTAGTGATCGGTATTGTGAAATGAAATCAGCAAACACAGTTGCATGAGTATTTTGCAGTCAAGTTCAGTTGTATGGTTGTAGATTTGGAGGAGCACAGAGGTTGGATGTTACCAGGACTGGGTTTTAGGCAGCCGTGTGTGAAGGAAGAGAGCGAGGGATGGACCGTGGAATTTAAGTTGGGTAGGAAGGGAAGTGAGGACCTGAGGGAGGAGGAGGAAAGCGAGAATGTGGTAAGATGAGCCATAGACGATTCTTAAAGCTGGGGTACCCGTCAGAGTTAGCTACAAAGAGAAGAGTGATGAATGGAGAGTTGATGTGTCTAATGTTGAAATTATGTAGGAGGTACATTTTTAGAAATAACAAGATCAGAGCTATGATCCTGAGAGTGAGTGACTAAAATCACAATCATGGGTGTAGAGGAGATCAAAGAACTCCAGGAAACTAGAATGTCCTGTAGGTGGATATGAATATTATTAGTATTACTAAGACTCATGGCAGAAATAGTGGTGGGGAATGTTAAAGTGAGGAAGGAGCTATAATATTCAAAGAATGAAGGGGTGTATTTTGGCTGAAGGAAAGATGACCACAGTGAGCAAGGTGAGGTGGTAGTAGATGGCGTAGTCTCCACAAGGTTGCTGCAAGAATGAAATGTGTTTGATGCACGTAAGGTTCTTCCCACTGAACCTCACGCAGCATGTGCTAAACAAATGTTAGTTGTTCTTAATTGCAGTCTACATGACTCTGGGGAGTAGAGCTTAAACCATGGGTTTATTTTTACAAGGAAGTTGATTTTCCTTTATTTTTAAGATCTTTCAAAAGGGCATAGCTGCTTGCAGAGCCATGTGTGACCTGGGTAGGTCTTAACTTCCCTGTCACTCAGTGTGTCCAACGGGCTAGCTGAATATCTGCATGACATTGCTCTGAAGAGCAATTGAAGGGATGGATGGGTGGCAGTCAAAGGTAGCGAAGGGGGAGACCGTGGCAGAGTTAGTTTCATTTCTCCTTTCAAACACCACCAAACATTTGTTAGCTGTGCTCTAGAGACTGGCTATAGATGCAGGAGGCCAGAGATGTCTTAAGGGAAGGAGGTTTCAATATGGGTAGGACAGGTCTGCAGTCAGGCAGATGTTGGCTAGTTTAGTGAGAGCCAGAACAAGCACAGCAGAGGCATACTGACCCCTGTGGGGCTAAGGAAGCCTTCAAAGTCAGGCGGTACTTGAGTGTGTGTTGGAGGCTTCAAAGTCAGGGGGTACTTGAGTGTGTGTTGGAGGCTTCAAAGTCAGGGGGTACTTGAGTGTGTGTGGATGTGACCCGTGTGAACGGGGCAGGAAAGAACTGCCATGTGGAAGGAACTGTATAGACATTCACTCCCGCAAGGGCAGGAAACAGCCTGGAATATTTTAAGTGCTACTGAGTTGCTTTGAGCAAATTACTTATCTTCCCTGTCTCAGTTTCCCTATTTGTAACATAGGGATAGTAGTGGAATCCATAGGGTAGGAGGAAGTGAAGAGTAAATGCAGCAATGTATGTAATACTTGTGCTGGGAACTCGTGCAATCCTTATGGGTGTATTTATCTTACTTTTCCTATTAGGTCTACCCATGCAGGGACAGGGGATATCTTTCCATTTTCTGCTGTCCTCTTCAATCTCCTTTTTTAGACTACTATAGCTTTCATTGTAGAGGTATTTCATTTCCTTTACTAAGTTAATTCCTATAAACAGTATTTAATTTTTCTTGAAGCTACTGTGAATGGTATTGTTTTCTTAATTCCTTTCTTGGTGGGTTCATTATTGGTGTAGAGGAGCTCTGTTGATTTTTATGTGTTGATCTTATATCATGCCAAAACTTGCACTCTTAATCCCTAAGCTATACTTGGTATAAGCACATAGCTAGTACTAAATAAATGGCAGTTATCACTGTCATGATTGCTAGCTTGTCAGCTATAGCTGAGGGCTCTGTCATCACTTCTGTAGCTGGCTTAAGGTCACCAGTGCTCCTATTTCCAGCAGCGGTAACTATTTTTTTGAAGGCCCTCATTACCTGCTATAGCTGTAGTAGACAGTTGTACCATGTGTATTTTAACTGGCTGATATTTGGAAATCAAAAGTGGCTGTGATTTTTGTCTTCTAGAGGACATGTCTTTCTGAGCAGGTGCAGCTGACATGAGAAAGAGCTCAGGTTGAAGTATGCTTCTTATATCTGTGGGCAGACCTCAAATGAAGCCCTTGCATGAGGAGATGGGAGCGAACCATCTTCCACAGGCAAGAGGTGTCATCCAGAGATTGTGTGACCAGCCTCAGTGTTCTCTGTAGGGAGCTAAAAAAGAGCCTCTTCCATCAGTAATGCCTGAAATAAGCAGAGCTCTGAAAAGAGCTGCTTCATACAGCAAAAACTTACTGAGCACCTGTTATGTGCTCATCACTCACCCAGTATCTGGAGACATTTACTGGTGACCCTAGGGAAGAAGGCTGACACGGTACCTGCTCACAGAACTTATAATATTGGCGGAAGGACACGGACAGCAATCAATTAATAGCACGAATGCCTGCCACAGAGGAAATGTACCATAGAATGCAAACTCTCTGAGTCATTTCTTGATTCTTCTGGAGCTTGCGCCCAACGCTAGTTCTTTTTTGAATTGTTAAGGAGAGCATTGAATTTTTGGACAAAGGACAGAGTGACTCTTTTTGCTCCTGCCCTGTCAGTTATGCCCAGATGCCACCTGCCTGCTTCCTGGTCATAAAATCTGGGGTTCTCCCAACCTGTACCTCATCTTTAAAGGAGGATTTTCTCCTGAATCATGAGGTTATATTCATACTGCTTCTCTTAATGTTGAATCTCCTAGGACAGGCTGCAAGGCCAGCCTGATTTTGTGCATTAAGTTGATACACAAAGTGGAAGTATATTTTCTATATTGTCCCTAATAGCTTGCCCTACTTATTCAGCTAACATAAAAATAATAATGAAGTCAAAGGGATGTGGTGAAGACTAACCTTTCATTTGATCAGTTTTCAGGTCTCAGCTCTTTACATTTCTTCTAGTTCCTTGGGCATGGCTAACTTTTATTTGCAATAATGTACACACAGACAATTTTCTATTTTACTTTCTTCATTATAACATATTAAATATTTTCTGCCCTATGACTACATCAAGTCACCAATTGTTTATACTCTTTCAGGTGGTTGTATTGTAGTTTAACTGTTGTTAGAAGGTTAGTTGTTCGTAGATTTTCACCATAAGCTTAAATTTATTATTTTTTTCTTTGACAAAGGGGCCAAATATAAGCTTAAATTAAAAAAAATTTTTTTTTCTGTTCTAATGCACATTGCTTTTTAGAATTCACATTTTTATCTCAATCTCTGTCAGTCCTCACCACAACTATGTAAGGTAGGGAATCATTTTATGCACGAGGAAACTGAAATAATCTTTTCTTTTGAATTATTTTTGCAGGCTGATTTCCTAGGTGTATGGTAACTTGGTCAGTAGACACAAGCTCCTGGTTCCATTGCTTATACTTTCTAGAAAGCTTAAATTAATTTACAATTCTCCTTTATATGTTTATAAATTTCATTGTTTTCTGTCCAGCAATGAGTATGAACAGTTTGAAGACTGCTGACCAATATAAATTCTATAAACTAGTCTCTTAGTGTTCAAGGTACTTCCTTTGGGGTTCTCTCAAAAACAGCCATAATGTCGTATGCTTGTTAATTATGCTTTTTATTTTGTGATTAGTCCTTTGTATTAACCGCATCTTTATTTTGAGAAGTTTTTCCTGTGTTAACCCTGTTTTGTGCGTTGACTCTTGTCAGTTTTTTTCACTGCGTACTATAGTATTTTTCATTGTGTAGAAATTGGAATTTCCTTGCATGTGAATCTATTACACTTTTCCTTTGCTATTTTTTACATTGCATCAGAAGTAAAAGAGCTGGTAAATATACTTTTAAGCTTTTTAAAATTATATTTTTACATATTTTATCTCCAAGAGTAACAAACGCACACTTCAGAAATTTTGTAATATACACAAAATTACAAAGAATGCAACTATTCTACCATCTTGGGTGTCCTTTTTCTAGTGCTTTCTCTTTTTTTACACATACATGTATATTTTTTAAATGACGTTTAAATTTAGATAGTATTTACAGGTTTGGGAACCTAGTTTTTCAGTTAAAAATATGCTGATTGAACTTTCATATATCATTAAGTATCTTTTGGAAATAAATAATTGTTTGAAAATCTGTCTGGTGTTTATTTTGAAGCTACTGGCTGATTGTTCCTACATAGAGGTCAGTCAATTCTCTTTCTTCCCAGGTGGGTTGGTGGTCCCTATCTTATTTTTCTAGGGTGCTCCTGTGTGTCATGGGTCTGTTCCTGGCTTCTGTGGTGCTCCCTGAGCCACATCACTGCACCTATAATAAGCTCTTCACTCTTTTCTGAGCCCTCGAGGCTTTCTGGGTTATGCCCCACCAGAGGCCTATGGAAGTTCCATCCGTGTCATTAATGTTTAACTCCGCTCTGGTAGAAACCGCTCTTATCTCTCTCTCTCTTTTCCATTTGCAGATGTTTTTTAATCATCCTGAGAAAAATGAGCCTTGGCCTCCAGACACATTAAAGCCAACCTCCCACCCATGGAGAATAGTGCTAGTTCCTGAGGACCTGGGGGGCCTGCAGCCCCAGGGCGATTAGCCAGAAGCAGGTAAGAAACACCTACAGGTGAGGGCTTCCAAAGGGGTCCATTCCCCCCAAAAGTGGCATGGCAGACTGCTCTGGCAAAGTCTCAGGGTCTCAGTATCTGCTGCAGCTCTGCTGGTTTTCCCTCCTTTATTCTCTTTCAGTGGTCTGGGGCAGGGCGGGGTAGGGTGGGTGCGTGGCTTGCCCATGTCTATAAGCTATAAATAGGATTTGCGTTATTCTATCATTCCCTTGGCTTTTTATGTGCACCTGCTATGTCCCAAATACTGCATTTGATACTGAACTCCTTTGATGACTAGCTCAGGGCAAAATTCCTTACTTTGACAGGTTTGCTTCCTGCTGCTTCAGCGCGGGCTCGGTCTCTGTGGGTGATAATGAGTTGTTATTATGTTCCAAAAGCCTCGCGATAATTTTAAGGACTCACCGGTACAGTCACATTGGTTCAATCATTCTTTTTTGAGCACCCATTCTGCTTGAGGGACTCTGCTGGGTCCTATAGTTCATAAATGCCGCCAGGAGAAGTTTTCCTCGCTAGCACCACAGTTGACATGAAAAGCAGGCATTAAAAAAGCACTGGTTGCAAGCAGCAGGGTTCAGGGATAGTGGTACAGTGAAGGTGAACTTCCCTGAAGGTCAAGGGCAGAGAATGCAGCAGTGCAGATGACAGCAGCCTTAAGAAATCATTGGGGTGTGGTAAGAAAATTCAAAGCATTTGTGGAGACAAGTTTAGGATTCTTCTCCTCTCCTTGCTGGTGGGCTGTTTAGCTGGAGCTTCATCCTTTCTCTGTCTTGTTAGAACAGCGTGAAGGATGAGAGAGGGTCTTTCAGCTCCCAGTGCCTGCAAAGCCCACCCAGCTGTGGACGCGGCGGGGTCTAACACAAAGATTGTGCTGGGGGCCGTGGGAGCCCTGATGTCAGAGTTCAGATGAACACTCCCAGGCCGTGACTGGCACAGGCCTCCCGGGCTCAGGCCATCTGAGAGTTTCAGGACTGTGTTTGGGCCTGGGGACTCTTTGTTCCTGAGAATCCAGGAAAATCCACCACAAGCCCCAGCTCCCGAGACACGGAATTAGGCCCCTCCCTCGTGTCTCCTTTCACTCATAGGTGAGGGAAAAGTCAAGCTCAAAGTCTAACATTTCCAAATCATTTGCGCAACTTTGGAAAATCACTTATATTTCCCAAATTTCAACTTTTTTCAACTACAAATGGAGCTCATAAAATCTCTGCTGATCTCCAAGGTCATTTGGGATTTTATAAAACCTAATGTGAAAGGCTCCCGGCATACTGAGCAGTGCCCACCCTGACGGCTGATTCATTGCTTATGATAAAAGTGGCTTTTCTCTCATGGTCTCATAGCTTGAGTTGCCTCCTGACATCTAATTTCTGAATCCTGATGGCCAACACCAAATCTTCACTTCCCCTAATCACAGATTCTTGTTGGAAGACCGTGAGCCTCTGGAGTGAGACTGGGTTAGGGTCTTGTTTCTAACACTGATAAGCTACTGACCTTGAGGAAACCCTGTCACCCTAATTAGGCTTTTCCTTCATTTTCTAAAGTATCACTATCAATCCAATAGAGATTCAATGAGATACTGCAGGCAAAGTGCCTATCATGCAATTGAGCCTCCTCAAATGCTGCTGCTTCTTCAGTTCCTCTTGAGTTGGCCTGTGGTCATGTGAGGAGTTGTTCTCCTCATTCTGCGGGAATTTAAATCCTCGCTTTCCTGATAATGTCACAAGGCCTCTAGTTTCTGCTTCATGATCTCCTGAGAGAATTCATCTTTCTCTGAGTACATTTTGATGCAAAATTCTGACCACCCAAACTAGGAACCCATCTTCCTCAGAGACACTGGTTTGTAAAGTCCTGGAACAGGAGGGTGTACGGCTTTGGTTGGTTCGGCCCTCAGATTCCAAGAGTGACCCTGGTGTCAGTTAACTGAAGATGTTTGGATGAACAGCCTGCAGTTCAGGCTGCTGAGTTGTGGGCTGTGTACCACTCTGCCACCTTTACTGGCTACGTCACCCCACGTAGCTCTTTTACTGAGGGCCTGCTGTTCCATCTCTGTTGAGAATACCTACCCTGGCTTTGTTCTTATCTAATGCCAATCCTATCAACACAGCCTCTTGCTTGGTCTCCTCAATACTCCATGACTGAGCAAGGCAGAGATAATCATTCCACAGAGACTTGGGGGAAGAGATATTCACTTGCACGTGGTCACCAAGAATGGGGATGAAAACTTGGGTTTCATGAATGCCCAGTCCAGTACTCTTACTACCTTCTTCCCAAATCCTTAGGAGCAAGCTTCATGGGAAGGCCTTCAGATTCCTAGTGGGTGGGTAAAAACTCATGGTGTATTGCTTTGACAATTTTTTTTTTTTTTTGGTTTTTGGTTTTTCTCCGGTACTGGGGATCGAACTTACAACCTTGCACTTGCCAGGCAGGTGCTGTGCTGCTGAGCTAAATCCCCAGCCCCTGACAATTTTTTTTTAAACAAAAATAAATTCATTGATTGAGGAGAGAATTTAACGTTTTTCAGAAGATACAGACCTTGTTTGAGTTCAAAGTGCTTCTTCTATCTTTCATTTTGGTTATGCAATAAATTCTGAGAGGACAAAGTAGGTCTTTACCCAGATACAAGGGAATAGTCAGGCTCTATTAGCTTAATGAAGTCCATTTTACAGAACTTTCATGATAGAAAGGCCTTGGACTATGGAACCAAGTACACAGAGATTTGAACCTCAGTGCAGCCATTGCCTTAGCTCTGTAATCTCCACTACATCCTTTAGCCTCTCACAGCTCCTGGTTGCTAAAGTATTAAAATGGAGATCATAACACCTTCTTCCATAGTGATGTTCAGGACCCATCCGCAGAGCTCAGGAGATGCCCTTGATATTAGCCTGTGATGCGCATGGAGCTTCCTAGAGCTATGCATCACAGTGACCCTGGTTTTGCCAGGAAATTAAATAAAGTAACAACGTCTGGTGTACTTAATAAATGTTTTTCATTTCTGTAATTGGCCATGGCTGCTCTCTTATCAAGATTTCCTAGTCTCTGTCATGAGATGAGCTTGCTTCCTGTCTTAAGGGTGCTTTGCTTGCGGTGCACCGCACACAACAGAATGCTATGCTGTGAGGCTGAGCTTGGTCTTATCGTCACACAGCAGGTGGACACCACGGCTTTTAGGGGGCTTCTACATAAGTCAGTGGCTACAGCCATGACAAAGGGGCCTTTCTCAGAGTATCTTAAGTGACTTAGGATTTTAGATAGTTTGGATTCTGTGTTGTAGACAAGTGCTTCCTTCTCATTCTAGTTTTCCAAGCCTATGTGCCTTCATTTCTCAGAGAATACAAGGATCTAGAAACGGAATGCAGAGAGGATATGGCTCCTGACCTTATGGGCTCAGAGTAAGCTCTTTGAGGAAGCTAGATGAGGACAATCAGGAACTAAGATTTAGAGTACAAAAATAACGGTGGAAAGATACAGAAGTGTTCCACGCTCCGGGTGGAAGAAGAAAATGTCCGAGGGAGTTCATAGACAGCACAAATTAAGGCTGAATTTTTCTGAGAGTTGCTCAGTGCTAGTTGAGGAGGTAGGAGGTCAACCAGGGCTGAATTTCAAAGCTCCTCACTTAAAGTTGATTGCTTAGCCCACTGCCCCACTGCATGCCATTTTTGAATGTTCTTCACATTGTCTTTTCCCCTTGTCCTGCTTTTTGTAGGTTCGTTTTCCTGCTTAAAACAGAGCTGCACATAGCTTTCATTATGATTCACACCAGCCTGAAGAAAAAATTCAGCTACTGTGTCCTGGCCTTTTGCCTGTTCGCAGTCATCTGTGTGTGGAAGGAAAGGAAGAAAGGGAGTTACTATGCTTCCCTTAAAGTGCAAACCAAGGAATTCCAGGAGCCAAAGAGCCTTGAGAAGTTGACCACAGGGTCTGGTTTCCGGGCTGTGCCATCAAGCAGTACCCAGGCCCCCCACCGGCGCAGCCAGACCCTCAGTCCCCGGGTCCCACGCAAAGCCAAACCGCAGCCTACCTTCCAGGTGTGGAACAAGGACAGCTCATCCAAAAATCTTGTCCCCAGGCTGCAAAAGATCTGGAAGAATTATCTACGCATGAACAAGTATAAAGTATCCTACAAGGGCCCAGGGCCAGGCGTCAAGTTTAGTGCAGATGCCTTGCGCTGCCACCTCCGGGACCGTGTGAATGTGTCCATGGTAGAAGCCACAGATTTTCCCTTCAATACCTCTGAATGGGAGGGTTACCTGCCCAGGGAGAACATTAGGACCAAGACTGGGCCGTGGCACCGGTGTGCCGTTGTCTCATCAGCGGGATCTTTGAAGTCCTCACAACTGGGCCAAGAAATAGGTACGTTGCCATTGTTCGCTGAACAGCCACCGCTCCCAGGAAGTAGGTGGACTCATTGCTGGTCCTGCAGCCAGGGCCCAGTGGGGCTTGGGGGATCAGTGGAGCAGGTGCGGAGCAGTGTTTTCAACTGTCTTTCTGAGAGTCAGATATGCTATGGAGACAGTCGAAAAGACGGGAATCTAGGCCCCAGCATCTTTATCAAATAACTTAGCTTCATTTTTATCTGTTTCAAATATTAGTGTCCTGCAGAGTATTTAATATGAAAAATAAAGTTTGACTGCTACCCGAAAGCAAAAAACTACACTTATGTTTGAAACATAGATTTCTACTTCACTTGCAGGTTCTGATAGTCTATTATTTTATTTGGTACAAGACTCTTGTGGCTTTAACTACATGAGTAATTTTCACTTTTTTTCCTTGAAAGAAATGAATTAGAACAAGGATTTGTAACTTAGGGGCTGTGGGCCAATTTCAGGGGGTTCGTGAGTCCTTAAAATCGCATGCAAAAATACCCGTGGATTAGGGGCATATAAAGTGTGCATGTGTGTAACTCTGTGAATTTTTCCAGCGGAGAATTTATAACACTGTAGTTGGTTCTCAGAGGAGTCTGTGGCTCAAATAAGATTTTAGTCACTGGGTGAAATAGCTCAATTTGCTTTTCTTAAAGTCCTTTATATTGGTAAACTAATCCAACCAACAGCTACTGATTTACTTAAGACCCTTTGCTTCTCTTGTATTGGAAGAAATATATTTTCCATTATTGTGAAATGAATTGGGCGGTAAAGAAAGCAGAGCAAAGGAAGGCTTGCTCTTCTGTCAGGCTGGAGGTATTGGAGCAGGTGAGGTCATATGTCTCCTTTTTTATTCCCTTCTTGTGACTGCCAGGAAAAATGGTCTGAAACCAACCATATGCTCTCAAAGAAACATAGATGTGAATTTCAGCTCTCTAGAACTGAAAGAAAAGTGGTGAGATCACATTTTCTAGTTCCCCAAATGAGCAGTACTTACTAATAAGAGCTACCAAGGTGGCCAGTCCCACCTCAACTTTGATTTTTGCCTTTTTCATTTCCTTTGGACTTTGTTTGCTAGAAATTAAATGGGGCTGGGTTTTGTTCATCTGTAATGAAACCAAGCTTCTTTCTTTCTTTTCTATTTTTGCCATGACACGGCAATGCTTGGCTCTTCCAAGTGTTAGCACACCCTTCTTCCGGTCAAGTCATTATGGTCTGCCTGGCTGAAATTATGCTGAAGTTTGAGGCCAAGCCAAAATCCCTCTGTGAATTATTTTTAATATACCTTTATTTTTATGCACTCTCTAAAAGTTGGAGTGATTTAAAAGTGAATTAAAATAACTTTTTTCTATACACTCCAGTTACAACTTCAAATAAGTACTGTAGAAGGACTTTGATTTTGAGATATAAAAATTACATGTTAAACTTCAAGTGTTCTAAATTTTATAGGGCATGTCCTCTGGGCATTTGGTCTACCAAATATTTTAAGACATTTATTCATTTCCTTTTATTCATTCATGAATTCATTGACAATAGAAAATAAGAGGTTGGAATACAAAGGAGCAAAGGGAAAAGGACGGCCATTGCCCTTGAGCTCCAGGCAGAATGCCAGGCCCGTGGACTTTACATTGCAGAGAAATTTGTTGCGTCTATTCTCAGCAATTGAGCATCTGAGGTGGCTTCGAATTTATTGTTTAGTTTTACAACTTGTACTCTTGGTAAGGTTAATATGCAGATAATTTTATTTATTTATTTATTTACTTACTTACTTACTTATTGGTACTAGGGATTGAATGCAGGTCCTTTACATTGAGCTACATCCCAGCCCTTTTTATTTTTTATTTTGAGTCAAGATCTCATTAAGTCACGTTAATAACTTAATTTTTCCAGGCTGGGATAAATTTACAATCCTGCTTCAGCCTCCCAGAGTGCTGGGATTACAGGCCTGTACCGTCACAGCTGGCTTGTACAGATAGTTTGTGAATTACTGCTACCTTCCAGTGGGAAAATATCCTCAAGAATGGGGCTAGAAGGTCTAAAAAAGAGATTTTATGGCTGTATTTTCAGCCATGGCAGGACTGTTTACCAGAGAAAGTGTACAATGTGTGCATAATGTACCTGTGACAGGTTCACAGGCCAGCCAAGGGCAGACTCAGTAATTTTCAATTACACTTGGTAGCTTCCTTATGCTTAGAAAGTATCTTAGATTTGTTGGGAATTTCATTTCAAACAATAGCTCATTTTAAAAAACACAATGGCCAATAGAAGTGACACGTACTATGCACCTATGTGTCCAACATACTTATTCTTTGAGTTTTCCCAGTCGTCCTCTGAGCTGGGTCAGACCACTGTTTCCATCTGCTGGTGAGCTAACTAGAGTCTTGGAGGTTCACACAACTTGTTGAGAGCCGACTGGGCGTTGGAAGCTACTGTTGGACTCATAGGCCTCCCTGCTTAGCTCTTGTGCCTCGTAATGGTTGTAACTTCCTAAGAAAATGTAGTCGGATTAATCTTTTGCTGCTTTCCTTGGGGAAAGGAGTGGAGCATTCTGAGTTGAAGCAAAGCCAAGAAGGGAGGGCTGCATAGGGAAAAGTGCGTAGTGTGTTTGGGCATTTCAGAATCTTCTCTGGCTGGGAAGTGGGGCCCAGTGGTGAAGAGGGGTGAAGAGTGGGCAGAATGGGAGCAAAGGTTGAGCTCTTAGAGAACGTTAACAGTCACCATAAGGATGTTGGGTTTTGTTCTTTAAGCCACAGAGTGTCCTAGAGGTTTTGGAGCAAGAGAGCGATAGGATGGTGTGTGCTTTAGGAAGAGCTCTCGTTTCGGCAAGTCGCATCTCCATGGGGATCTTGTCTAATCTCTCCATCATTCGCCACCTTTGCCATATCCCGCTAAGAAGTCCTGTGCCAGGCTGTCCAGCACTGGGAGTGGTGGTGGAGAGAAAGGGCCTGATCTGAGCAGTCTCCTGAGCCACAAAGGCAAGAACTTAATGTCTAACTAGAAATGCCCTACAGCGGAAGGTAGGAGCCAGAGTTTCTAGCCTAGGAACAAGCTGCCTCCTGTCGCTGGCAGATTCCATTTGGGTGCTCTTAGTCTGAGGTGTTTGTGGGTTTCCTTCCATAGTTGTCCGTGCGGTTGGGTATTTGATTCTGAAGAAGGGTCAGATGTGGAGATCAGATTTAGAAGTCATTTGCATTGAGGTGAGGTTGTGTTATAGTCTAAGGGAAAGCCAATTAGAAAACCTAAAGACGGGTTTGTGCTTTGAGAACAAGCACAAGCAGAAACATTCAGAGTGGCAGAGAGAGGGGCTGGAGGAGAACCAGGTGTGTACTGTGATTGAAAGCAAAGGGGGATGCAGTTGGGGGATGTCAGCTTTTGGCATTAAAGTCTACAGAGCCAAGACACGTGTTTGAGCAGAATGAGGCCTGAGGAGACAACTATAGATTGAGTGACTTGAAGAACTTGAGTGGTTATGGCTGAGGTCAGAGAACTTTTCTTGTAAAAGGCCAGGTAGGAAATATTTTAAGTTTTTAGGGTAGTACGGTGTCCTTAATGAATGCTCAACTCAGCTGCTCTGGTGCAGAAGCAACGCTGAAGAGCAGTAGTAAAGAATGGGCATGGGTATATTCCAATAAAACTTTATTTATAAAAATGAGGGTTGGATGTGATGGTGCACACCTGCAATTCCAGTACTTAGGAGGCTGAACCAGGAGGATTACAGGTTTACGGGCAGCCTGGGCAATTTACCAAGAGCCTGTCTCAAAATGAAAAGATAAAAGAGGGCTGAGACTTTGACTCAGTGACAGAGCACTTGCTTAGCTTATGTGAGGCCCTGGCTTCTAATCCCCAATACCACACCAAAAAAACCAAAAACAAAAACAAAAATAAGAGAGGGAGAGGGGGAGGTTATGTGATGTGTGAAATTCATTTGGAAGTATGAAAACGTTGTGATAAATTGTGATAAAATTTTTTTTTTTTTTTTTTTTTTTTTTTTGTCTTTTTGAGACAGGGTCTCACTATGCAGTTCAGGCTGGCCTTGAGCTCACTTTGTAGACCAGGCTGGCCTTGAACTCAAAATGATCCTCCTGCCTCAGCCTCCCAAATGCTGGGATTACAGGAGTGTACCACCACGCCCGGCATGTGATAAAATTTCTTACATCATGACCTCTACCTATTTAAAATTACCTGAAGCAATGGATTTGGATGTATTTATGAATTTCCTAACTCGAGCTATTTCTATTGAATTTTCTAAGCATGTGATTCCATCAGCTACATACAGTGATGCATCCCCCCCACCCCCAATTCTCTGCAGTTACAGAGAGATAGCGGCTTCTTCCTCCTGGGCAGGTTTGTTTGCTAGGATCCCATGGGTTATAGTTTGCTCTGGGTTTTGTCCTGGAGGCCCATTGAGTTTTTTTTTTTTCCAGTACTGGGAATCGAACTCACAACTCTGCACTTGTCAGTCAGGCGCTGTGCCGCTGAGCTAAATCCCCAGCCCCTGGCCCATTGAGTTTGAAAGCTCTTCAACTTTCAATAGCAAAAGATGAGTTGGCCAACAAGGGTCCTATCCTCTTATGATCCCAAATGGCTTTTTAAAGAAGTTTTCTTCTTTGATTTTTTATTTTTATATTTTTTTATTAGTACATGTTTGCAGTGCATAATGTTCACACTCCTTTGTGGAGTTAGGAGATGTACGCAGCACATCTTTATTCTCTTTTTTCACCTCCTTTCCCTCCCCTTTCTCCCCGCCTCCTCGTGGCCTCCTTTCTATTTGAGAGAGACCTGTCTCCTTACGCCATAGCCGTGCGTGATCCTTTTCCTGCCAAACTCTTTTAACTGCGTCTGTGATTTCCTCCCCTTCACTCACTTGTCTTCAGTCAAGTCCTTTCACTGCGGTCTTAACACTTGCTGCATCCTCCTGTTGGCATGGACGTCCCTGGGCCCTTTCCATGCCTGAGGGTCAGCTGGCCACCATCCAGCTCACAGGGGCGTGGGTTTGAGACACACTATGCATCATCATTCTATCTAAAGAAGATTACATCATTGTTCCTTCACACAACTCAGCTCACTTGTGTCACAGTACCAATTACATCATTCTCTATGCAGGCTGTACTTATTCCCACCCTTCAGTGCAGCAGGAGGTAAGCTGTCTGAGGGCAAGGCCTTGTCTTTTTTCTCACGCCATTGTCTCCAGTCCTGAAAATGGCCCTGGCAGTGAGTCAGTATTTACTGATCCTCCTTTCTGTGAGTCAACACTGAAGACCCATCCTGAGACTCTCGGGCTACGTTTTCTCCATTACCCCCTCCAAACCCACTTTCTTCTCTTTCCTGTCTAGTTCTCTTGCCTGGAATTTGGCCTTCTGGGCCACATCCGGGGATGTCCCTTGCCCGCTGGCTTCCAGTTGGTCAAAGAAGCACAGGTGTAAAGCTGAGAGGAAGGGAGATGAGATTGGGGCACCTATATCCCTGGGTATCCCCTGTGTGTGAGCTCAGAGGGCGACTTTCCCTTAATAGGATCTCAGCCCGTGGCAGGCAAACCCCTGGATCCCTGGGGCCCTGCTCTCTCTCTTTCCCTTCAGGCCTGTCAGACTGGAGGGATGGAGGGAAGAGAGGTTATGATACTGATTACTTCAGGCCGCCTCTAGCCTGTTGGGTGGTAGCAGTACAGTGTTCCCCTCCACAGCTGCTGACCGTGGCCCCCTTAGCTCAGGGTCTGTGCTCCAGCTACCACAGTGCACCTAGGTAGCAATGGCTTCCTGTAACAGTTGACCGTGGGGTCTTAGGCCATCCTGCCTTATTTTCCTTAATCTTTACCCACATCTTTGTAAATAGTCCTTTAATGAAACTGTTAGTGGGGCCATTGGAGTTTTCATCTCCTTTCTACAGAGATTTACAGTGATGATTTATTCATTCATGAAATGAGAAAGTTGGCCAAGTGCAGTTTCTATAGATCTGTATTCTCCCGTGACAAAGCTCGTTGCAGTTCTGGGTTGTGTAAAGATGTACTTCCTGCTCTATTTGCAGTTCCGTGTGCCTGTCCTTTAAACTGAAAAAATATGGACTATGCTCCTGTCCTGTAACCTTCAAACCATTTCAGTGACAATCTGTCCTAGGACTGAGGATACAGCTATGTTGTTTCTGTGAATGGGGTGCCAGGGCTCGTGCATGAGGTTATGCTGGAATTGAAGAGAGGGAGGATGTCATCCCTTAATTTCCCTGTCCAGATCATCTTGTGTTGAACCGAATGCCTTTTTGTCCCCCCAATCCTATCTGTGTGGCAAAATAACAACCAAAACAAACCCACATGGAGGCAGATGGGGTGATAGCTTATTGGGCTTAGCTTCAAATAGATTTTGGTGGTGAGTCCTAAACTTGCTTGGTTGTATACGATTTACGTGTACTGGGCTGGGCTATCATAGAATCACAAAGGTCCCAGATTGGGATGGTTCTTAGGGGTCATCGCTTCATCCATCAGATTGATCAGTGGAAGTAGAGAAACTTCTCCAACTTTGCAACTCTACTTTAAGTAGCCAAAAGGAGGTTGAGCCCAAGAAGTAATTAGATGTTTTTGAGACAGTCTATCTGATACTGATTGGATTTAATACTGTATATTTTTTTTTGACAAAGTGCTTATTAAAAGACATGAGGAAATACAGCATTTAGTTTTACCACTATAACCTCTTGCTCCATTCCTACCACACCAGTTTGTGACCCTTCTCCGGATTTCATGTTCCTACATGGAATATTTATGTTTGTCTCGGATGCCATAGTAAGTCCTTTAATTTGTCAAGCCCTGTGCACTTACTTGTCAGGTAGACCAAGCATATGACATTGTCTTGATTTTTCTGACAGGAGTAGAAATGTAATCTACTGGTGATGCCGACAGCACACTTGGTCTGTTCCTTTGATAACCGGAGGAGCCATTCCTCCACAAGTTGAACCCTGGCCTTGGTCACATTTCTGCTGTGCTTTGGTATACTGGTGACATTGGATGAGTTTCAGGAATCCATGATCTGGACCCCTTTTAGCTCATGCAGCGGCTGACAGACAGATGGTCCTTTTGGCCTTTGAGCTCTACCTGAGCAACACAGAAATATAATTTTTCTGTTTGTATCACAACAGGATAAAAATCAAGAAGCATTTTTATCTAGTTCTCTCCCTTTCTTTCAGCCCCTTTTCCCCTCTTGTTCTTCTCTCTTTCTGTACATTGTCAGCACTCATCCATCACCTCTTTTGTATTTTCTTGTGGTTTATAGATAATCATGATGCAGTCCTGAGATTTAATGGGGCACCCACGGCCAACTTCCAACAAGATGTGGGCACGAAAACTACCATTCGCCTGATGAACTCTCAGGTAAAGTTTCTCCTATGCAGACACGGTGTCTTAGTCACGATCCTGTTGCTGAGACATGATACCCAACCCCCACAATTGAAAAGAGGGGAGGTTTATTTTGGCTCACGGTTTCAGCTATGGTTGGGAGGCTCCAAGGCAAAAACATGGGGGGAGAGGGGCCTGGTGGAGACAAAAGTGCTCAACCCATAGCGGCCAAGAAGCCTAGGTGGGGAGGGCAATACCCAGCAAGTCAGCTGTGAACTCATCAGTGTACTAAATGCTGACTTAGTACAGCACCCCCATGACCCAATCATCTTCCATACACATGAGAACTTTGGAGGACATTTTCAAGCTAAACGGTAACATGAGGTGTGGACTCCAAAGCAGAATGTGTCTGCCAAGAGTGCATCAAAGCTGCTAGATTAAGTCTCCTGACCTTCCTGGAGAAGGCGGAAGTGAGTCTGTCCCCAACCTTAGGATGTGTTCATTAAAAAAAAAGTCAAGTGCTATTCGTGTGCAATGCTGGCGGTTTCTAGGGCCCAGGAAAGCAGAGTTCTGCTGTTCCTGAAGCTGAGAGGTCACACCTAGAATGCTGCTTGAGGGCCCATAATGCAGGAGACTCCAAGGAAGAGTGAGGAGTAGTGTGAAAGGAAATGAAGACATGCATGTGAGAGTCCTCTGTGTGCTGTGAAATGACATACAAGTACTACTACGTCATTACCATTTCATCATGTGTAATGTGTACTGGAATTCATGTATTACTGGATGGATCCCCCTGGATTATTCATTTCTAGGTAGCACATGGTGATTTCTCAATACAAACTGAAATCTGAGCAGTATCATTGCTACAAAGTTCCGTTAATAGATTTAATGAGTAGGAAGACTGGGTTACACACTCATCAAAAATTGCGTGTTAGTCAGGCACCATGGCACTCACCTGTAGTCCCAGGCATGTGGGTGATTGAGCAGGAGGATCACGTGATCCCAAGGGTTTAAAGCAGTCCGGCAAACACAGAAACGTCCTAGCTCTAAAAATATCGCACATTAGGGCTGTGAACATGTTCACCTTGCTCACAACCACTGATGTTTGCCTTTTCCTGACCAAACATATGGGCCTTGGGTGTTTTTACGTAAATGTTTAATCATTATATACCTCCCCCTATGACTCCCAGATAGGGACCGAATCCTGGAACTGACTGGAAATGCCATGTCGATACTTTCCTGGTAGAATGTGCATTTCTCATTCTCTGTGGTAGGAATCTCCTTCTTTCTTTCTCTTCACTTACTTCCTCCCTTCCAGGAACTCACCAGCTGAGCTGAGCCCCTTCCTGTATAGTATACGTTTCATTAGAAAATCACTGCCCTGAGCATCTGTTTATGATGGCGTAGGGAAGGAGGAACTTCACTTCCGTGCAAAGGCCACCATCTTGTTTGTTGTTCTTCCTCTCAAGCCATTTTGTTCCTATAAGATAGTGATTTTTTTTTTTTTTTTTTTGAGACATGGTCTCATCATGCAGTTCAGGCTGGCTTTGAGCTCCCTTTGTAGCCCAGATTGGTCTCGAACTTGCAACAATCCTCCTGCCTCAGCCTCCTGAGTGCTGGAGTTATGGGTGTGTGCCATCATACCAGGCTAAGATAGTGATTTTCTACCCTTCAGTAACCTCTAGGTGCTTCCAGGGCCCGTGTGCTGTTCCACCTCATATTTGGGGTTTTAATATTACTTTTTTTTATCACCGGAAAGAGAGGTTTAAAAGAAATGGTTTGATTAGCAAGAGGCTCTGGAGCAAACAGCATCTGAGCTTGATTTGAGAGGTGGGCAGATTTGAGAAACTGCAATAGGGAAGTGTTCCAGAAAGTGGGGCTGGCATTGACTGAGTGCTGGCTGGGCAGAGGTGTCCATGTGGCAGAATTCATAGTGCCCTGTTGGGGAAGATGAGGCTGGACCTTTATGGCTGCTCAGCTTGTGGCAAGTCTGGAAACTCAGACAGAGGAGTTAAGACCGGCATTGCTTCTCTCCCTTCTGATGCCCCAGTCACAGACATCCCAGCGCTGAAGAGCACCTCCGGGAGTGCAGAGACGTGGCTTCCACCTCTGTGTGACATGCCGAAATGTCTGGGGCAGAGTTACCATTCATTCATTCATTCATTCACTGGTTCTGCAGATACACACAGCATTGAGTACAGTGTAGCAGTCAGTACATAGCCTCTTCAGTTAGCCTGTCTGGGGTGGAAACAAGCCCTGTGTCTTATAATTAAATTTCACGCCCAATTTAGGTATGTTGCAGCAGCTTACAGTGTGAGCTGTAAATGAGAAAAACGTGCAAGACACTCAGAACAGTACCTGGCACATATGCTAACCAGTGTTTCCAGTTCTTTTATGTATGTAGACACTGTCCCCGGAGTGGAGGATACGATGGTGCTACAAGCACAGAATGGAGGGGAAAACAGTATGACCATTTCACCTTATGTAAGAAAGCATTTGACAAAACTCAGCACCTTTTCATGATACAAACATTCAGTGTGCTCGAAATAGAAGGAAATTCCTTGATGTCAAAGCTGACTGTGAAGAATCAGAGACAAGCCTCATACTCAGGAATGAAAGGTTAACATTTGTCCTCTAAATGCAGCAAGAAGGCAAGGATGCCTATTTCTGTCATCTCCATTGAACTTCTTACTGGAAGTGCTGACAAGAGCAAGTTAGGTGAGAAAAAAATAAAAGGTACCTAAGCTGGAAAAGAAGAAGTTGAATTACCTCTGTTCACAAATGATATGATCATCTATGGAGAAAATGCTAAAGAGTCTAAAAAAAAAAAACTTGTTAGAATTAATAAAGAACTCAGTGAAGTAGCAGGACCTCAAGTTCACACAAAAGAAGCAGTTAATTGTTTTTACAGTTGGTGTACCAGTAATGAATAATCCAGACAGGAAATTAAGAAAAACTTTCATTTACAAGAACATCAAAAGAATTAAACAGTTAGGAATTAAATTTAACCAAAAATTTGTACAATGAATCTTGCAAACGTTTCTGTCAGAAATTAAGAAGACATATGCAAAATAGCCAATATCAATTCTAAATAAACAATGTAATATAAATAATGTAATATTTAACACAATATTAAGTTTTCATGAGTTGGAAGGCTTAATGCAAGCTAAGCACCCTTTATTCAAGATGCTCCAAAATCTAACTTTTTGATCACTGGCATGATACCACAAGTGAGAAACCCCACACCTGGGCTCAGGTGCAGAAAAATATTGTACAGAATCACCTCCAGCCTATATTTATAAGGTGTGTATGAAACCAAGATGAATTTTGTGTTCAGAGTTGGGTTTCTCACACAAAATACCTCATTGTGTCCACGCAAACATTTCAAAATATGAAAAAAAATTCTGAAATTGAAACACTTCTGGTTTCAAGCACTTTAAATAAAAGCACTGAGCTTGCATTTTTAAGATGTCAGTACTACCTCAAACATCTACAGATTTAATGTAATTCCTATAAAGAGCTCAATTTTTTTTTTCCAGAAATAGGAAAACCCTAAATTACGTATGGAATCACAGGCACCACAAATAGTCAAAACAATGCTGAAGAAGAAGTAGAAAGCTGGAGAACCAGCACTTCTGATTTCAAAACTTACTCTAGTGCTTCTATAATCAAAGCAGTGCAGTACTGATTTAAAGAGAGATTCATAGAACCATGAAATAGAATAGTAAGTCCAGAAACAAGCTGTCTTAGTTACTTTTCTCTTGTTGCTGAGACTAGCTACCCAACATCCAAAATGAAGGAAGGAAAGGTTTATTTAGCTCACAGTGTGTGGAGGTTTCAGTCCATACTCGGCTGGCTCCAAGTCAGAGTGGCACATGGCAGGGGGCAATAGTTCCTGGCGGCAGAAGACAGCAAAAGCAACAAGAGCAAAAGGGGAGGAGTAGCAGCAAGCAGGCTCTTTCCTTCCCTTACATTGTATGCAATCTCCCTGCCCCAGGGGCAGATGTAGCACTCACACCCATAATCCCAGCATTGGACTGTGGATCAATCAAAAATCTAGAAGCCTGCCCCAGGCCTGCATGAGGATTTGGGGAGACACGCAGACACAAAGCTTTACAGAAATGGTCATATGATATCAGATTCATCAAAATCACTCCATGGAGGAAATGTCTTTTTAAGAAGTAATGCTTGGAAAATGGGTTGTCCAGGTGCAAAAGCATGAAATTGGACTCTTGTATACCACCATATACACAAATTAATTCAAAATAAATCCATGACCTCAACGTCAGACCTATTACTATAAAACTCTCAGAAGACAACATAGGATAGAAACTTCATGACTAAAGTTTTGGCAATGATTTTATGGTTATGACAGCAAAGGTACAGGAGACAAAGGCAAAAAACATACAGAGGGGACTTAATGAAATATTTTTAAAAGTGTATATCAACAGACACTCTACAAAAGAGTAAAAAGAACCCACAGAATGGGAGAAAATGTTTGCGAATGATATATCCGATAAGGATTAATAAACAGAATGTGTACAAAACTCCTAAAACCAAAAAATGCAATTCAAAACTAAGTAAAAAATTTGAATTGATATTTCTCCAAAGAAGATGTACAGTATAGCCAGCAAGCACACGACTCAACACCAGAATCACTAGGGAAATACAAATCAAAACTGCATACATTAGGATGGCTTCTCTGAGGAGAAATGGGAACCCCTGTGCGTTGTGTAAGCTTGTTCGCTACTGTGAAAAACAGTGTTGAAAAACGTAAACTAGAATTATCTTGTGATCTAGCAATTCCACTTCTTGGCATATACTTCAAACAATTGAAAGCAGGTCTAGAACATGTTTACCCATGCTCAAAGTAGAATTATTCACAATACCAAAAATGTGAGCCAAAAATCAAATGTCTGTTGATAGATGAATGGGTAAGCAAAATTTGGTACATACACACATTGAAATGTTACTCAACCTTAAAAAGGAAGGTCAGCCACATGTTACAACATGGTTGGACTCTGAGAACATAATATTAA